ACCATTACAGCATGTTCATGTGCAAGGTGTAGGTGGTGATCATCAATGTCCAAACAGCGACACGGAAAAGATGCTCAGGAGTCCATCTGCGTTGCCATGTGCGGTAGTTGTAGATCCTGTCGCCCAAAGTGGCGCTGCGAGTTTCCACCACCCGGATCTTTGGAAGGAATAGGGAGGGAAACAAGTCACGATGAGAAGCAATCCAGCTCTGTAACCATGTGCCAAGTTGAGCTTTCCAATTCCGGACATGTAGAGGCGGTAGAAGTAGTTGTGTCAAAGTGCTGGGTGATTGTAGCTGTCGTTTGCGCAACACCTGGGCGAGGAGTTTCTGTGCCTTGGAGCGAAAGGGCTCGCTGACAAAGACGGAGAGTCGCAGAAAGTAGTAAAGCTGAGTGGGAGGAAAAGCCGCCGACAGTAGGTCACGCATGGCTTGGAACGATGCGCCTGTATTGGATCCCAGCTGATAGAGAATAGAGTAATGTGCTTGAATGTCATCCAACATGTCAGGTCGCAATTGCCGTTGAAGATCCGGATGTAGTCGTCGTCGAAAACGTTTGTGTAAACCGAGGGTGGTAGGAGATGACAACGAATGTCGTCGAAAGTCAACGAGATGCTCCCGGAAGCCCACCTTTCGTAGAAGTCTATGTACCCAGGGCGCATTCAAATGCGGGCGTAGCAGGTATTGCCACTTGCTTTCCTGGACCCAAACCGAGGAAACGGGAAGTTTGATCTCAACCGGAACGGCACAGAAAAGCCAGTACGTATTGGAACGCTTCCAGTAGTGAAGCGCGGGTTCGAAGAAGGCATGACGTCCCCGAAGTAGTTGTAGAAACTTGCGACTGCGTGAGTGTTCACGTCGTAGAACGTCCTGATCAGTCGCACCAACGTAGTAAGGCGTGTGCCATGGAGAAAGTCGGATGTAGACGCACGGTTGTTGATGATGACCTGGATCATGAATGAAGTCATAGAGGTCCGGAAACCGTGCCCGCAATGAGCGAAAATGTCTCGTGTCTGCAAAAGTGGAATGCATAATTTCACACAAGAGAGATGCCTTGTAGAAGTGAAGAACCTCAAAGAACGGTGGAAAGTAGCCGTGATCTTGAGAAATGAGACGTTGCAAGAAACTGATCAATAAATAGGCCGTGCACCGACATCTGTGAAGCTCATACCTGTTGGCCACAGTGTGTTGAGATTGCGACATAGCGTGATTCGGAAGCTGAAGTGAAATCCGGACCACAACTAATACTTCCAGAATGAGGCCCAACCACGGTAGTTGCGTGATTGACTCGTACTCATCTGCTGGTATCGACGGTGGTGGTAGTCCAGGGAAGCAGTATTGCCAGCACGTAGAGAACATGGTCAACGAGTGTAGAAAGTTGTCCAGAGAATGCCATTGTGCAACATCATCATAGATTCCACTGCGGCGAAGCTCAGCCAACATGGTGAACATGCAACCAATGAAATCTACCGTGAGGCGGCGACATGAATCCAAGCTGCACAGAATATCACGCACAAGACAATGCAAGCACAGTCAAGCACAAGATCAAACAAGTGCAACGCAAGAAGATGACGGACGGGTTTTAAACCTTTACTCATCCGTGACACGGCTGCCGCTCCGGGCTCATAGGTGAACGAAGTTCGTCAAGGTGCCTGCTCAGCCGCTGAGTAAGCGAGCGGTCACGATGAGGTGACTCAGCGCCTTCTCAGTGAGCTTGGTGAGGTAGCCGGGCTCCAGTCCCCACGAAGCCGCCATCGCCCCGAGAGTGGGTGCGTCGCCTTTTGGCATGCGTTGACGCGCCTGAAGGAGTTGCGTCGCCATGGAATCCAATGACTTGTTGCCGTTGAGACGGGACGGGTGATTAGCCCACTTGACCAGTGACGTCAAAGTTGCGGTTGTGGGCGATTGCTTGAGATACAAGCGTGGCTGATCACTGGTCCATGTGTAGTACTTAACAACTTCTTCCGGCGTGCTGTGCGTGGTGAGCAATTGTGACGCCGCCGGCTTGGACGGTGGTGAAAAAACTCCGTGAAGAGACTGAATGATCCGGGGCTGCACCGCGCTATCAAACGACTTGCCATCAAGGGCCGCTGCGCTGGCCGTAGGGAGGGAGCTGGTAGGTGACGAGGATTGTGTGTGGTTGACCGGTGATGGTGTAACCAACTCCGCATCATCTTTCTGGCTTGCCACCGTGGGGGAAGTCGAAGCGCGCAGCGATGCTGAATACTGAGCCTGGAGCAGCTCATGAGCACGATTTAGATCATTGTACTTCTTGACCATGTCATCTGTCTGGGTGGGAGGCGTGAGAGTTGCGTGGTGTTGCTGAAGAAATTGAAGTACCAAGTTGGCCACATGGTCATGAACCTTGATCCGCTGATTGAAGTCATCGATGTTGAGTCCCAGCGAATTGGCAAGGTCCTTTTCCAGGGTGAGCAGGTTGATCGACTGTGATCGCCGTAGTAGTTTGGAACAGGTACTCCAAAGCAAGGCCTCAGTGCGAGTGCGAAAAGCCTTCCCACGTCACGAATCTGCCGTGAGCGAACGGTCGGAGCAGCCAGTTGGTGAGGCCCCCATGAATAACTTGAACTAGGCGAACGTCACGAATGTCCATGCCTGACATGGTTGGTTGCTATGCGGAGTGTGGCAACCGTCATGGGCAGGCTGAAGTTGTAGAGCTGATTGACATCTAACATGCCATCTCCAGGTGTCCAGTCAGGTGATGGTGTAAGCCAGGCTTTCTGAGGACGAACCGGCAGGGCAGCAGGGGGTCCAGGTGGCGGTGTAGGTTGTGAGGTAGTGACCGGTGGCGACATCACGGACGGCATGAACTTCGTTGGCGTGGGCACGGACGGCATGAACTTCGTTGCCGTGGGCTCTGGAGGAATCGGCATCATGTAGTTGATCGATGGATGTTGGAACTGCTGCGTGGGACTGGGAAACGATTGATAATTGGTGGGCATCATCGGGAAATTGTTGGCGGAGTTGTAGCCGGAATTGTGTTGCCAAGATACCGGTTGTTCCAATCCATGCCCTCCGAGACCTGGTGGTCATTGTGTTCACGTCGGTGTGCTTTACGAGCTTGAGGAGAAGTACTCCGATCGCGTCTGCGCCGAGTCCTGGATCTATCACGATCATCACGTCGAGACATGGTGGCGCAACCAACTCTCAATCTTCACACTTCCACCTTGAGAGAAACAAATCCGACAACATGCAAAGTTATGCAAATTCAAGTCATCGGCCCCCAGCTGCGATGGTTGGAGAAATGAATCCGACAAAATGTAAGTCAATGCAAGTTCATGTCAGCGTCCATCAGCAGCAGTGGTGGAAGAAATGAATCCGACAAATGAAAGGCAATGCACGGTCAAGTCAGCAGCAATCAACCGCTGTGGTAGGAGCAACAAACCCAACAAATGGCAAGCCAATGCAATTCAACTCAGCAGCCGTCAGCAGCTATGGTGAATCCGACAATTGCAAGACAATGCAAATTCAAGTCAGCAGTCTTAAACCGCTATGATAAGAGCAACAAATCCAACCAATGGCAAGCCAATGCAATACAAGTTGGCAGCCGTCAGCAGCTGTGGTGAGACGTCGCTATGATCTGACCGCTGTCTTCCCTTTAGTGAAACCTCGTTCCTGGTTAAATGTGAAATTCCGCTGTTCTATGATAAGCACGTTGAGGTCAAATTTTCCGACAGAGCCGGCCCGGGGTCACACAATGGGTACACCCGAGGATTCCCCACGAATGGGGTGTACACACTTAAACTCCAAATGGAGAGTGCTAATCTTTCGAGTACAACTGATGAGTCTCGAGTACAACTGATGAGTCTCGAGTACAACTGGAGTGAAGGAAATCAAGTATCGGCTTGCAGTTCACTTGGCTTCACTCTAGCTACTTCAACAGGGAGACAGAGAAACAACAGCGGTTCAGGGGAGGGACCAAAAGGACCTTGAATCACGTCTGCAGGTACGTTTGCACAGCGAACTGGATGGGTCTTCGTTGGCCCGCGCCATCCAGTTGCTCGCGGGCCCCCTGCTTCCAAAACCGGCACAAGGTGGTGACAGGGTATTCTGTCACTCCGCACACACACACACAAGCAAACACGCGCACACAGACACAAACACTCACAAAGACTCGCAGAGACTCAGACACAGAGGCTCACCCAGACTCACACAAACAGAGAAACAAACAAACAAACAAACAAACAAACAAGCAAGCAAGCGAGCGAGCGAGCAAGCGAGCGAGCAAGCAAGCAAGCAAGCAGGCAAACAAACAAACAAACAAACAACCAAACAAACAAACAAACAAACAAACAAACAAACAAACAAACAAACAAACAAACACACAAACACACAAACACACAAACACACAACCAAACAAACAAACAAACAAAGAAAGAAACAAGCAAACAAGCAAGCAAGCAAACAAACAAACAAGCAACCAAACAAAACAAACACACGAACAAACAAACAACCAAACAAACAGCCACACAAACAAGCAAGCCAAGCCAGCAAGCAAGCCAGCAAAGAAGCAAGCAAGCAAGCAAGCAAACAAACGAACAAACAAACAAACAAACAAGCAAGCAAGAAAGCAAACAAACAAACAAATAAACAAACAAACAAATAAGCAAGCCAGCAAGAAAGCAAACAAACAAACAAACAAACAAACAAGCAAACAAACAAGCAAGCAAGCAAGCAAGAAAGCAAACAAACACACAATCAATCAAACAATCAACCAATCACTCAAACAAACAAGCCACATGCTCGTTTTCAGGCAGCCTTACAAACAAATCCAGAATCTCAACATCGACCTAGCCTATTGGATCGGAACGTCCCAAGATGGGGATCCCCGTGCAAGGAATGGCAAAGGAATTTACGGGAATGCAACAGAAGCTTTATTGAGCACCAAAAGGCAAAATGAAACCAGCCTTTTTGAAAGTAGGGATCTCCTTCTCTGAGCAACACCTAGATTGCCACAACGTAACCATGCTTTTCAGTCTGTGTCCTTGCAGTAGGCTGCCAGGCACTTGGAGATGCCGACGCAGGAGCAGTTGAACTCACCCACGATCCACTTCTCCTGGTCTGCCGGGGTACCCACGGGCGAGGCAAGGATGAAGTCCGTGGTCCACCACAGTGGAACGGGCTCCTCGGACAAGCCCAAGGAAGGCATGACGTGCTCCAAGTCCCTCTTCAGGAAATTCTCCGTCAGGGTCTTGAACTTCGGCTCTTCAGGACCATAAAAGGTGTAGATCGAGCCAGTGCCACCCACTGCGGAGATGCCACCCTCCTTGGGCTTCTTGTGGATGATGCCAGCCAGCGTATCGCAGATCATGTTGTAGCGCAGCTCGCCCTCAACAATACGTGGGCAAAAGCGCTGATCCACAAGCTGTCCGCCGGCAGCCTTTCCACCCTCCAAGTACTTGCCGACTCCCTTGGACGTCCATGTGCCGGACTTAGCCGTGCGGCCGTTCACACAGAACTCGACAAACTCTGCCACGGTGTGCTCCTCGGCATGGTTGTCGTTGGCTTCCATCATGTCCAGCACCTCATCATCTGTGCAGGAACGCTCGCCGTAGGTCTTGCAGTAGTTGCCCTTCTTCAACTTCACGATCCAAATGCCTTCTCCTGACGAGCCTCGGTTCTGCTTGATCACTCGTGGCTGGAATGCCATGGTCTTCTTGAAGCCAGCGGCAAACTCCTCGGGCGAGTAGTAAGCCAAGGTGTCCTCCAAGCCAATGTTCAAGTGCGCCACCTTGCACAAGGCATCCTTGGCGCCCATGAACTCCATGACATCGGGAGAAGGCCACACCTGAATGCCCAGCTTGCGCATACCTCGCATGCCTTCATCAAACTTGGCCTGGTCGCCGCCATCCGCCTTGATTTGGCCCGGGTTGCACCGAACGATGATTGCATCAAAATTCTTGCACACGTCGAAGAACTTGTCGTGCTCTTGATGGACATAGTGGATGAGCTGGCAGCTCATGCCAGCGCTGATCATGCCATTGGCAAAGGGGATGGTGTCGTATCGGTGCCCGTTGGAGCTTTTGTCAGATCCGCCGTACGGCTGGCTGCGCACATAGATCTGCGCTAAGGCCATCTTGTAGAGGGGCTTCTTGGGCTGAGGCAGCAATCCCAGATCGTCCTAGCCCGAAATCTATGTTACAATTCGGTGTTTGAAGGCGTCGCAAACAATGAAACAAATCACTAAATGGGACTAGCAATATGCAAGGAACGAATGAACCAACTTGCGGGAGCCGAATCGCGCGTTTTACCTCCGACAAGGGTGCTTTTCATTTGCTGTGAAGCGCTCTTCGCTGGTCGACTCCAAATACTTGGAAGCTTGCTCTGCAAGGGATGCTCTACCTTTGGGCATCTGCAACTTGCCAAGGGAGTTGGTTTCTTCACGGGTTTACCTTCTGACCCAGTTGAAATCGAGAGACAACCTCATTCAAACAAATTCAATTGACCCAGAAAACGGCCAAGCGGCAAACCCTGACTGAACGCCCATTCCCTCTTTTTCTCGGTGGGGCCAAATCCCGAACCGTCCACAAAGACAGGCAAAACCTTTCGTTCGAGGCTTTTGACATCCCTGGATGAATCATAACTCTTCACCGTAGGGGCCCTTCACAATGGGGCCCGTTGCAAACCATGAGTCCTTTGCGATTTGATTTGCCCACAAACGCTCATCTCGTCAAAGCACCTTATGCGGGTCAGGTTTTCCGTACTAGGAACCCTTGTGGCCATTTCATCTTTCAACATTCTTGAGGCTTGGTGAGGCTGTCCATGCAGTCCCAAGCCGCTCGGCAAGACTCCGTTCACTTGAGTGGTGTTCTTTGTTCGCTTCTAGTTCGATTGAAATTATTCAACCTTCTTCCGCGGCAGGAAAAAAAAACGCTGCCACGAGCTTCCGCGGACATTGACTTTACAACATTAAGAATAGTTCACCTCCACAACCGCAGTTTTGGCATATTTCTTCAGTCTGCTGCTTACGCGTTTGCTCGAACCTGCTGCAGGCGCGCGACGTGCCCGCTCGAAAGTCGCAGCTTTGTGGTACGAGAGGTACACTGACAAACGGCTTAACTGCAGCGAAGACAAAAACCAAAGGCGACTTCAGAGTGTGTCCCAAACCTTCGGACTTGATGGGTGCACCTTTGTCGATGCGGATATCGTTGAGCTAGCAGATGATCAGGTTTCATGCTCGAGAATGTGTAGCATATACAGAAGGCTGCCAATGCTGGGCTCAGGAAATAAGGGACATTGGCAACGCGCCAAGACTGATCCATGGGGCTCTAAGAGGTTCGAAGAAACTGTGCGGCTCATGATGTCTGTCCTCAACAATGGTCAACCTTCTCCAGCACTTGTTGTACAGGGCATACCATCGGGCCAACGAGACGCCAACCGTTTTGGCCCACAAACCACGAGCTAAATGAAAAGAGCAGCTCTGGGCTTGGCAAAAAAAACAACAAAACAAAACAAACGCAGTTTGCTGTGGGACATGGAATCAACGAATCTGTGATACAACCAAAAGGCTTCCCCAAAGACTAACCCCCCCCCGCATATCAAGGGCTAAACCCCCCCGCCCCCATATCAAGGGCTAACCCCCCCCCCCCCCCCGTATATCCATAACAAGGGGGAGATTCCCCGAATTATCACAAACCCCCAAGTGATCAACCACAACCCGCTGACGGGTGGTCAGGCGATACTTGGCGGGTCCTTGGCCACCTTGGTGATGGATGCCACACTCACCGGCGCCCGCGCAGTCTCCAGGATGCTCAGGGCCTTTACGCCCATGAGGTCCCCGTATCGCTCCGCCTCCTCAAGAAATCTGCGGTCACTTTCTAGGGTGAGCCTATTGGATTTGCTACAAGAGTGATTCATTTTCTCAGGGTGAAATGAAGTGGGGAGAAAAATGTTGGGTTGATTTACTAATTGGTGTTCATGCCATTGGCCCTCCCAATGCAGCCAGGGCAGAAAAAAACACTGCACGCACCTGGCTGGGACTCGCCCCCCGTCAACCTCCGTCCTTCAGATCCTCCTGCGCAATGTCCTCGAAGCAGGCCTTCGGGGTGTCATCCTGGCAGCGTCTAAGGGTTTTTGTATAGCACCCTATACCCACTGGGTATTGACCCCAGAAACGCACATTTCTCATTTTGAGCCATTCTGGGTCATTTCCCGAGGGTGTAATCCCAGGGTGTAATACAAAAACCCTCAGACAGCGGGGACGGCGCCACAAACGAAACTCATCCTCGCCACGGAAATTTCACGGGAAACTGGGCTGTGGCTCAACAACATGGTACATGTTGTTTATGGCAACTTGGTAGATGGAACCAAGGGCTCGAATTTTGCGGTTTGCCCTGGCTGTTTAGTTTTCAGCCACACCCATGTTCCTGTCATTGCTTCAATGGGGTGTCCTTTGCGAAAGCTTCCGATGATACATCGTGGTCTAATGTGCTGAAACAAGCACGACATGGGTTCTCTTTATGTAGTGCAAGGGACCACCTCAATAATTCGAGGACAGGTACATCAAGGGTACTCAGGAGTAAGTCCCTCAAAATCAGGTGCTTCCTTGGCTCCAAACCCCCGCTCGATACATACAAAGCGAGAGCCCTCGCCCTGGTTCCTTGCAGTAGGCTGCCAGGCACTTGGAGATGCCAACGCAGGAGCAGTTGAACTCACCCACGATCCACTTCTCCTGGTCCGTTGGAGTACCCACGGGCGAGGCAAGGATGAAGTCAGTAGTCCACCACAGCGGGATGGGCTCATTGGACAAGTTCAAGGAAGGCATGACGTGCTCCAAGTCCCTCTTCAGGAAATTCTCCGTCAGGGTCTTGAACTTCGGCTCTTCAGGACCATAGAAGGTGTAGATCGAGCCAGTGCCACCCACTGCGGAGATGCCACCCTCCTTGGGCTTCTTGTGGATGATGCCAGCCAGCGTATCGCAGATCATGTTGTAGCGCAGTTCGCCCTCAACAATACGTGGGCAAAAGCGCTGATCCACAAGCTGTCCGCCGGCAGCCTTTCCACCCTCCAAGTACTTGCCGACTCCCTTGGACGTCCATGTGCCGGACTTAGCCGTGCGGCCGTTCACACAGAACTCGACAAACTCTGCCACGGTGTGCTCCTCGGCATGGTTGTCGTTGGCTTCCATCATGTCCAGCACCTCATCGTCTGTGCAGGAACGCTCGCCGTAGGTTTTGCAGTAGTTGCCCTTCTTCAACTTCACGATCCAAATGCCTTCTCCTGACGAGCCTCGGTTCTGCTTGATCACTCGTGGCTGGAATGCCATGGTCTTCTTGAAGCCAGCGGCAAACTCCTCTGGCGAGTAGTAAGCCAAGGTGTCCTCCAAGCCAATGTTCAAGTGCGCCACCTTGCACAAGGCATCCTTGGCGCCCATGAACTCCATGACATCGGGAGAAGGCCACACCTGAATGCCCAGCTTGCGCATACCTCGCATGCCGTCATCAAACTTGGCCTGGTCGCCGCCATCCGCCTTGATCTGCCCCGGGTTGCAACGAACGATGATTGCATCAAAATTCTGGCACACGTCGAAGAACTTGTCGTGCTCTTGATGGACGTAGTGGATGAGCTGGCAGCTCATGCCAGCGCTGATCATGCCTCAGCCCAAATGTCTGCGCTTTCAGCGTCGAACCGATTCGTGGTGGGGATTGCGGCCGTTTGGCCCCCTGTAATTTGGACAAGAAAACATGATTTGATGTGAGTGGGCAGCTTTGAGAGCCGGAAAAAATCGGAAGCTGTCAAAACTCCCTCACGGTACCAGGATGGTCATGAAGTTTTGTAGGCGCTCGAACCAAACTAAAAACACTCTCGAAAATCCCCTCTGAACCTAAACCGGGCTACAACCCCCGTTGCCCAATGGAACACTCGCCGCATATCCGGACAAATCCCGACATGGGCTTTTGGTGGCGGATGATCAAAACACGACTGAAACCAGGGCCATCTATATTCAAAAAAACCGCCGCCTCAAAAGTTGACACCTGGACCTATTGCATTGAGATCAACCGGGATGCCATTGGCAAAGGGGATGGTGTCGTAGCGGTGCCCGTTGCAGCTCTTGTCCGAGCCCCCGTAGGGCTGGCTGCGTACATAGATCTGCGCGAGGGCCATCTTGTACTTGGGATTTTGCGGCTGCGCCCTCAAGCCCAAGTTGTCCTTGGCTGGGTTGGTGATTTGGTGATGTTGCGGCCTGGTTTCCAATTTACCCTCAACAACATCCAAGGGTTCAAATCCAAATCACCACCAATCCAAACCAAGCAAAGGATTACCTGACAAACTTGCCGAAGCCCACCCAACAAACCGACAGCAAAAGAGCAAGGTGGTGGCACAGAACCCGCTAAAACAAAAACAACTGCCATCCTCATGACTTAAACTAAACAGATCTGGGGAGTCCTGGTCGAGTCTTGCCGAAAGTGTGTCACAAGTAATTCCTTTCAGAACCATCCAAAAAAGTGGCTCCCGCTTTTTTCCTCGGCCTTTGTCCACGGAGTAGTGAGCAAACCACTAAAATAAGGAAAGGAGGCAACTACACAAAGGTCACAGGGGCTAAACCTGCGGGAAGCTGTTGTCTCCTCGTCCAAAAATGCTTCAACTTGTCAAGGGTTTCTCTCTCCTTTAGACACCACCACACCAAAAGGAGACTGAATTCAAGATGGTCCTCGAAGTTGTCTTTTGCCAAGGCTCCTTGGCAACTTTGGTGAGGCTTGACACGTCAACGGGCGCCTGCATTTTGTCGAGGATGCCTTTTGCCTTGACGCCCATCATGTCCCCGTAGCCCTGCGCATGTGTTTCAAAAAGAATGGGATGTCGGAGGGGAGAACTCACCCTGCCCCGCCCCTTCCATGCGAAAATTAGTTTCCCCGCCCCAGTAAAAGAGGAACCTGAGTGAGGATGCAAGCGTGGTCGCAACATCTGATTCGGCAAACAGTTGCTAAGATGGGCAACACCCTGATTCTGGTTACATCATAACACCCAGGGGTTCAAAAGTGTCCAACACGCAAAGATGTAGCTGAGTAAAGCGAATGTAAAAGGTGCTTGAACAATATGTTTTTCAACATGCCAAAACACAGGTGCGGTCTTGGCATTTGCTCTATGAAACCAAAGTGAAGCCATCCCCGTGGCTACTTGATCACTTTCAGGGATTTGTTTGTCCACTCACGGATGCCTGAAAGCGAACCATGCAAATCACAACCATTCAAGCAATCTGCAAGTTTCATTCTAGCTGAGCTAAGGGATCCCCCCAAGTAAAGGGCATTTTTCATGGTGAGCTCGTGTTATCCCCAGGTCGCTATAGGCAGAAGCAATGCTTTAACTCACTTCGGTCATGTCCACAGTCGCGCCTGGGCCTCCTTCAAATCCTCCGGAGTGATGTCAAAGAAGCAAGCGTTGGGCGTGTCGTCCTGAAGGCCAAAACCGGGGCGTGGGCCAAGGAAACCGCCAAAAGTGTCCCGAGTGAATCGCGACCCTTGGGTCCGGCAGTTTGGAGGACGTCTCAAAGATTTTGACCATGAGGGGCCCTCAGTCCAGGACGCTTGGTAGAATTCATCAACCAGCTTCAAGAGCTCCCTTCGTGAAGGTGCCTGCTTCCCCTGGCCACATGGTCACGGTTCAGCCATGCTTTGCGCTATTCACCATAGCAGATAGCCTGCTAGGACCACTCGCTTCCGAACCTACGGATGCAAGCAAGCCTACTGACGGCAGAAAGTGCAGCTTGATATGAAGCCTTGAGAAACAGCTCAGGACACGGTCCAACGGGTGTACCCCTAGTAGCTGCAAGGAAGAGGAAACCCACAGATTTCGCCCAAAAGGAAAGGTTCACCAGTAAGTTGGGGTACACCCTTGGGCGTATGCGACATTGAGAATGGGTCCTTGCAGTAAGCTGCCAGGCACTTGGAGATGCCGACGCATGAGCAGTTGAACTCACCCACGATCCACTTCTCCTGGTCCGTTGGCGTACCCACCGGCGAGGCAAGGATGAAGTCCGTGGTCCACCAGAGTGGAACGGGCTCCTCGGACAAGCCCAAGGAAGGCATGACGTGCTCCAAGTCCCTCTTCAGGAAATTCTCCGTCAGGGTCTTGAACTTCGGCTCTTCAGGACCATAGAAGGTGTAGATCGAGCCAGTGCCACCCACTGCGGAGATGCCACCCTCCTTGGGCTTCTTGTGGATGATGCCAGCAAGTGAATCACCAATCATGTTGTAGCGCAGCTCGCCCTCAACGATACGTGGGCAAAAGCGCTGATCCACAAGCTGTCCGCCGGCTGCCTTGCCACCCTCCAAGTACTTGCCGACTCCCTTGGACGTCCATGTGCCGGACTTAGCCGTGCGGCCGCTCACACAGAACTCGACAAACTCTGCCACGGTGTGCTCCTCGGCATGGTTGTCGTTGGCTTCCATCATGTCCAGCACCTCATCATCTGTGCAGGAACGCTCGCCGTAGGTCTTGCAGTAGTTGCCCTTCTTCAACTTCACGATCCAAATGCCCTCGCCGGACGAGCCTCGGTTCTGCTTGATCACTCGCGGCTGGAAAGCCATGGTCTTCTTAAAGCCAGCGGCAAACTCCTCGGGCGAGTAGTACGCCAAGGTGTCCTCCAAGCCAATGTTCAAGTGCGCCACCTTGCACAAGGCATCCTTGGCGCCCATGAACTCCATGACATCGGGGGAAGGCCACACTTGGATGCCCAGCTTGCGCATAACCCTCATGCCATTGTCGAACTTTCCCTGGTCGCCGCCATCCGCCTTGATCTGTCCCGGGTTGCACCGCACCTGTGCTGGTCATTGACCGCGTGCTGCAAAAGGCAAAGGGTCAAATTGAAGAGCAACCAAGGCACGATTATGGCATTGAAGTTCTTGCAAACCTCGAAGAACTTGTCATGCTCCTGCAAACTGAAGCATGCGCTTCTGTTTCGCTGCTACGCTCGAGGCCCTTCTGCACTGGATTACCAGTAGAGCCGGCGAAGCCGGTGGGCGGAAGTTTCAAAAATATAAAAGCTATAGTTCTCTTTCTCTTTCTCTTTCTTTTCTTGACTCTTTTTCTCTTCTTCTTCCTTTTCATTGTTTCTTTTTTCTCTGTCATTCTTCCTTTCTTCCTTTCTTTCCTTCCTTCCTTCTTTCCTTCTTTCTATCTGGCTTTTCTTTCTTTCTTTCGTTTGCTTGTTTTTGTGTTCTTCTTTCTTTTGTCTCTTCTCTGTCTATCTATCTATCTATCTTTCTTTCTTTCCTTCTTTCTCTACCTATCTATCTACCTAACTACCTATCTATCTCTCGTGTTAGCTATCTATCTGCTTATCTATCTATCTATCTCTCTATCTATCTTCTCTATCTGTCTATCTATCTATCTATCTCTATCTATATATCTACCTATCTCTCTATCTCTCTATCTATCCATCTCTCTATCTATCCCTCTATCTCTCTCTCTCTCTCTCTATCTGTTTATCTATATGTCTATCTATCTATCTACCTCTCTTTCTATTTATCTAGCTATCTATTTCTCTATCCATCTACCTGCATCTATCTATCTATCTATCTCTCTATCTCTCTTTCTATCTCTCTCTCTATCTATCTATCTATCTATCTATCTATCTATCTATCTATCTATCTATCTATCTATATGTCTATCTATCTTCTGTTTGCTTCTCTACCAATATCTATTTATCTCTCTGTCTATCTCGCTGTCTCTCTTTCTTTGTATCTATCTCTCTTTCTATCTATTTATCTATCTCTTTATCTCTCTCTCTCTCTTTCTCTTTCTATCTATCCATCTATCTATCTATCTGTCTATCTCTCTATCTATCTATCTCTCTCTGTGTCTCTCTGTCTATCCCTCTATCTATCCCTCTACATATCTCTCTCTATCTGTCTTCTCTGTCTATGTATCTATCTCTCTATCTCTCTATCTCTCTATCTCTCTATCTATCTATCTATCTATCTATCTGTCTTTCTATGTATATATCTATCTATCTGTCTCTTTATCTGTCTATCTCTCTATCTATCTATCTCTCTATCTCTTTATGTATCCCTCTATCTGCCTATCTATCTATCTCTCTCTCTATCTGTCTATCTCTCTATCTCTCTATCTATCTATCTATCTATCTATCCATCTCTCTATCTATCCCTCTATCTCTTTCTCTCTATTTGTCTATCTGTCTCTCCACCTATCTGTCTATCTATCTATCTACCTATCTATCTATTTATCTCTCTATCTCTCTCTCTCTCTATCTATCTATCTATCTCTCTATCCCTCTTTCTTTCTATCTCTCTATTTCTCTCTCTATCTCTATCTATCTATCTATTTCTCTCTCTCTCTCTATCTATCTATCTATCTATCTATCTATCTATCTCTTTATCTCTCTGTATGTCTATCTATCTATCTATCTCGCTCTCTCTCTCTCTCTCTCTCTCTCTTTATCTGTCTATCTATCTCTCTCTCTCTCTATCTATGTATCTGTCTCTCTCTCTATCTCTCTTTCTATCTATCTCTCTAGCTATCTTTCTATCTGTCTATCGATCTATCTATCTATCTATCCATCTATATCTGCACTTAAAAGTTGCCCGGAAAGTTGACTTCGCGTACTACTTTCGTACTTAAAAGTTGCGATTTTCGAGCCCCAGCTGCGAAAGTGGACTTTGCGTATTACTTTCGTACTTAAAAGTTGCGATTTTCGAGCCCCAGCTGCGAAAGTGGACTTCACGTATTACTTTCGTACTTAAGAGTTGCGATTTTCAAGCCCCAGCTGCGAAAGTTGACTTCGCGTTTTACTTTCGTACTTAAAAGTTGCGATTTTCAAGCCCCGGCTGCAAAAGTTGACCTTGCGAAAGTGCGTGGCGTGCCACGAAATCTTTACTTGACCTTGCGAAAGTGGCGCGCCTGCTACGGATTTTGCACTTGACCTCGCGAAAGTGATGCACCTGCCACGAAATCTGCACTTGACCTTGCGAAAGTGCTGCACCTGCCACAAGTTCTATACTTGACCATGCAAAAGTGCTGCGCCTGCCACGAAATCTGTACCTGACCTGGCGAAAGTGATGCGCCTGCCACGTAATTCCAACCTTGAGAAAAGTTGACCTTGCGAAAGCGCTGCACCTGCCACGAATTCTGTACTTGGCCTTGCGAAAGTTCTGCGCCTGCCAAGAAATCTGTGCCGAAAAACCGTGCCGAAACCCTGCAAAACCGGCTGTCACAGAAAGGGTGACATACCGGTGACAAGGGGTGACAAGCTCGGCGGGCTGCTTTTTCCACCCAAAAGCGCCCGGCGAACAAGCGGTGAGGTCCGCTCTCCCACCGAGGTCGGAATTCCGACTTCGCTCCAAGCTTCCGATTTTGCCCGAAAAGCCCATCACCGGGCCATCACCGGGCCATCACCGGGCCATCACCGATCACCGCGGGCCGCTGCCGGGCTCTCGAAAGTGCTGCACCTGCCACGCATTCTGTACTTGACCTTGCGAAAGTGCTGTGCCTGCCACGAAATCTGTACCTGACCTATCGAAAGTGCTGCGCCTGCCATGCAATTCAATCCTTGGGAATCTGCACCCGACCTTGCCACAATGCTGCGCCTGCCACGCAATTCAAGCCCTGCGAAACCTCTGAGTTGCCGTGCCAATGGGCCCGGCGCCGAGCATGCTCCGAGCCCGCTGCGAGACCGCTCCGAGACCGCTCCGACCAGACGCCGCGGACAGGCTAGCTTTCGAATCTCCGGAGACGCCAATTCACGCATGACTTTCTCATCTCCGGAGACGCCGGTTCACGCACAGGGCCACGCTTTTTGCGACTTTCTCTTCCCCTGCCACACGCGCGCGCACTTTTTCTCGTGGGCTTATTCCTTCTCTTGTCATTTGTCTCAGAGAGCTAGCTTTCAATTAGTTGCCGTAACACGGAAGTTCCTTCTAAACTTCCTTTGATAATGGCCCATGAGAAAGTCACTCGTGTCATTCCCCAAAATCACGGAACCTTGGAAGTCTCTGGCAAAGCCCAGGATTAGCCCAGGCGCTTTCGATTCCCCCCCCCCCTGGGCAATGTGTTTCAATGAAACGGCCGGTGGCCAAACAACTCCCAATCCGGCAAACAGAACGGCTGCAGGACGGAGTTGGAGCCCATACCCTTGCTGGCCTACCTAGTGCAGGAAGTAGCATGCATTGTAGCATGGATGGTCATCCTCATCTTCATCTTCATCTTCATGTTCATCATCATCATCATGGTCGTCATCATCGGCATCACCGTCATCACCGTCATTGTCACGGTGATCGTTATCCGGTGCTACGCAGCATGTTCACTGAAACAGGTCCATCCGCGCGGATAATGCAAGAAAGTTGCATTGCAGGAACATGCAGACGTCAAGTCAGACCTAGTGGCGTGCTAAACGCCGCAAACAACCTCCAGGGCTCATCCGATTGCAGTGGCAACTGTGTTCACAGCACGTCCCTGCAGGAGCATAAACTTGGCGTCGAAGAAAACATGTCGGTATATGTCAAAACTGGGGACCCCTCCTGCCTTTTTCGAAGGAACCAACAAAGCACCCATGTGCAGGGTTGCTGAGTTTTGGCACAGAGCCTTTTAGAAACCCTCGCCATAGCACTCTTTCACAATAGAAAGTAGAATCCAGTTTCCGGTGTTGCTTCTGTCTGAGCCGCAGACAAGTAACCATCCATCTTGTTGGGACCATACGGGAGATTCTGCTGCATGCCCTCCCATGAACCATGTGACTTTCTGTCTCAAAACCCAGGCTCCTCATGTGTGTAGTGGATGAGTTGGCAGCTCATGCCGGAGCTGATCATGCCGTTGGCAAAGGGGATGGAATCGTAGCGGTGGCCGTTCGAGCTCTTGTCCGACCCGCCGAACGGCTGGCTGCGGACATAGATCCTAATGAAAGTGGGGAGAGCAGCAGAAACCCGGTGCCACTCCGTTTCTTTCCAAAAAAGCGCTGGACATGGACATGTTCAGCCACTGGACGGATTCAGGCGGCCCCCTTTAGAGCCTGGGTCGAAGTTGAGGGCTAGACCACTGGGACCCTGGCCCAGGTGAACTAGATGTGGTGGCCGAGGAGTGGTGGACAGAAACTCTCTTCCTCTGGCAGGGCTGGGGGAAGAGAACACTCTGGATGCAAACAACCAGCCGGGCAATGTCCGCCGGAAGCTGGTTCACTCTGCAATTCCCCCAGCTGGCAATGGTGATAGACCCCCGAAGGCAGGCCATTCTGTGGGGGTAGCATGCAGGTGGAGAACCCTCAGCCAAGCCGCTGTGCTAGCGCAGTCTTGTAGAATGGCTTGGAGGGCTGCGGGCGCAGGCCCAAGTTGTCTTTGGCGACCTGACGCGGAACGGCGGAACGCGGAACACGGGCCCCTTTGAAATGGAACCCGACATGTATGGAACCCGGGTGGTCCTAGGAAAGCAGGTGAACAGCCCAAAATCCATTGGTTCGGGTTGCATAGGACCCCTTGACCAGACTTGGGGAAGTTATTTTACTTGGATCCCACCCAGCAACTGGTAAGACACATGAAACCAAAGCGCAAAATGGAAGGAGGCGGATCTGCGACAACCACGTCCAAAATGGAATGTACCTCCAAATCATGCTGGTGTCTTGTTGAAACCCACAAGCAGAGTGCAAATTGCGCGCCTTTTCTACGAACCCATTCTCCCTTTGAAGGGAAGGTGTCCTTTCACAAAATTGAGCACATGCCCCCGAAAGGAAAGCTATCTGTTGTCGGAGGCTCACCCCTCGCCCATTGAGGTGGCTCGACAGCTTGACATGAAAGGGCAAAGCTTTTTTCTTGACAAGTTCCAAGTCCTCCCTGCTCTCCCCACTCTCCCTTGCCCTGCTCCCTACCCACTTTCCTTAGCTTGATCCATTAGTCCGGAGTTCCTGCGAAAGGTCTTTCGCTGAGCAAAGAAAGCCAATTGCAACTGGTCACATGGCTTTGTCTCATGGAGAACCTCAAAAAACATGGGGGCGGTTCTTTTCAGGGTATCTCATACAAAAGACGCACACACACACACACACACACACACACACACACACACACAGGGTGGTGGTGGAACCACCCTTGGCAAAGGGTGCAGGGCAAAGCGCACTTTTTATACTCGCCAACCTTTAAGTAGAGCTGGACGTGGAAGACTCGTGTTCGGCCGCCCTTTTGGCACCTGAGTTGATGGATCAACGGCCCAAACTTCAACAAAGATGCGGTCCACGGGGATGGTTCCAAGATATGAGTCCAAAGGGTGGGGATGCGAGTGTAAGCCAACATCTATCTATCCACTTCCCCACTTTAGAGGATGCCTCCCCTGCTCACTTCCCGAGTTGACGGGCCAAAAAATGTCCAAGCTTCTTGTTTACCACTAAAATGGTCTTTCCAAACTTGGGTGCTGTAGATCCCCCAGGAAAAAGTTCAACTTCTTGCTGGTTAAAAGGAAATATGAGGGGAATCCAAAAAGCTAAAGTCTAAAGATCCAACCCAATAGCAGTAGAGCAAAAAGGATCACGTCCAGGAACTCGGGAAGCGAGCTATGCCGTGCCTTCCCCTCTCCGCGCCTTCTTGATGGAAGACACGTCGACCGGACCACTCTTCGACAAAATCCCCAGTGCCTGTGGATGGCGGTTCCCCGCGGGTTTCCCGTCCAACCACCCCAAAAAGGCTCCCCTGACAAAAGAAGAAGCCAAAATTCGGTTGCTTTCTGCTCCCCTGCTAAAAGTTTAGCTTGTAGTGGCTTAAAGGAAAACCCATTAGTTGGCAAAAAGTTAAAGTCCTAACATCCAAGCAAAATGCACCAAAGAAAACACGCATGTGCGTCCAAACTCCCGGTTTGAATCCCCGTTTGCCAGGTCGTAGGCTCGAGGCAACTAGCGAGCAAATGCCAAGAGCTTAGGAATGCTTGGCATCCTTCCCTCAAAAGCAACCGTTTGCCTGCACTTCTTCTTTGTTTCCTCTACAGATCAATGCCCCCCCTATCCAAAAAGAGCATCATTTTCCCGAGTCCCGGAAAAAACACCCTGGCCTTTGAATTCCGATTCTAAACCAATGCACCCGCCGATCCCTTCGCCCAGCTTTCAACAAATCACTCCAGAAACCCTGGCTGTGCCTCTCCCTGAATGCACCCTGTACTAACCTTGTACCACAATTGGGCAGAGTGGTTTGCCCCTACGCTTCTAGTACAAAAAGTTAAAAAGGCCACATGTTTGAGCACACTTGCAACAGTAAAACCCTTCTAGGGCAGAATATGTTTAATTGGTGTATTCAGCGAGGGAAGGGGGCATTTCTCTTAGTGACCAGTCGAAACGCAGAACACGAAGCACATCGACGAATATTTGCTGTCTTGAAGATTCTCTAGATTTGTCTGGTACAACTGTGACTGGAAATACATACATCCCTTGCCACCAGCCAGACTTGTCACTGGATATGCACCCCTTCCCACCCACCAACCCAACCCACCCAACCAACCAACACCAACCCACCAACCCACCCAACCCACCCAACCAACCAACACCAAGCCACCCAACCCAACCCAAGCCACCCAAGCCACCCACCCAACAACCAAGCATCCAGTTCTCCCAACCCAACCCGCCCGCGCCTTTTGGCCCATGAGGTCCCCGTACCGCTGGGCTTCCTTCAAGTCCTCCGCGGGGATGTCCGTGTAGCACGCCTTGGGCGTGTCCTCCTGTGGCAAAAGGGCACGAGCGCTGGGCCTGGGACGTCCTGGCAACCCACTCTTCCATCTGCTTAAGGTTTCTGGAACTACCAAATATGCCGAGTGACAAATTCCCCTTAAAACCAACAAAGGAGTATAAAAAAACATATTCTTAAGCAAATGGAAGCATTGCTTTACCACAAGTCACCCCCAAAGTGGTAAGTTCCAGGCAAAGCACCCCAGCTACTTTGACCCGCCATCAACATGCTGACCCCAGTTTTCCGGGGCAAATGAAACGGTTCATTGAGCCCCCTTCAAATGGACGCATTCCCAGAGCAACGCCTAGAGCTTCCTTTTGGTTGCCCAAGGCCATCGGAACCGGGATCAGATTGCATGGAACAGCTCCTTTCCATGGAACAGTTCCTGTCCCCTAAACAGAAACTGAACGAGCAAACCCAAAGGGTGATGTTTGAACCTAGCTGGACTCCTATACACTAGTGTCGACCCCCGAATGAAATGTAAGCTTGGCGGACCTTTGATCGGAGAAAATTCCCCCTGAAGCGATCCGGATCCTTGCAGCCTGGCGCCGGTTCCCCCCCAGACCTAGTGCATCTTGGTTGGGAAGCTTGTCCGTTTCTCAAAAAGGCAAAGTCGGTATCCGCCGAGACCACAGAGCGGCTCGCAGGCTCTGACGTTCTGCAGTAAAAAAGCAACTTTGTTCAACTTTGCTCATTCTGCGCGAGGGCACATTGCAAATGCAGCGGCTTTGGGATTCCACTGCTCGCTTCACGCTCGACTCATGGCAGGGAGGGATTTGTGGTTCAAATCTTGAAGACCGGAAACGGCAGGACTCTCCAACAAAGACACGCAAAGACGGAACGATGCGCTTTCCCATGTGTGTATATATATATGTATATATATATATGTACATATGGATCAGTCTCAAATTTGCGAGCTGGTTCCCAGTAGCAAAACCAAAGAGGCTGCAACACCCACACAACATTTTGTTGACATGTACCTTACATGGATCCAAATCCCTCGGTCCTTGCAGTAGGCAGGCAAGCACTTGGAGATACCGACGCAGGAGCAGTTGAACTCGCCCACGATCCACTTCTCCTGGTCTGTTGGAGTACCCACGGGTGAGGACAGGATAAAGTCGGTAGTCCACCAGAGTGGAACGGGCTCCTCGGACAAGCCCAAGGAAGGCATGACGTGCTCCAAGTCCCTCTTCAGGAAATTCTCTGTCAGGGTCTTGAACTTCGGCTCTTCAGGACCATAGAAGGTGTAGATCGAGCCAGTGCCACCCACTGCGGAGATGCCACCCTCCTTGGGCTTCTTGTGGATGATGCCAGCAAGTGAATCACCAATCATGTTGTAGCGCAGCTCGCCCTCAACGATACGTGGGCAAAAGCGCTGATCCACAAGCTGTCCGCCGGCTGCCTTGCCACCCTCCAAGTACTTGCCGACTCCCTTGGACGTCCATGTGCCGGACTTAGCCGTGCGGCCGCTCACACAGAACTCGACAAACTCTGCCACGGTGTGCTCCTCGGCATGGTTGTCGTTGGCTTCCATCATGTCCAGCACCTCATCATCTGTGCAGGAACGCTCGCCGTAGGTCTTGCAGTAGTTGCCCTTCTTCAACTTGATGATCCAAATGCCCTCGCCGGATGAGCCTCGGTTCTGCTTGATCACTCGCGGCTGGAACGCCATGGTCTTCTTGAAGCCAGCGGCAAACTCCTCGGGCGAGTAGTAAGCCAAGGTGTCCTCCAAGCCAATGTTCAAGTGCGCCACCTTGCACAAGGCATCCTTGGCGCCCATGAACTCCATGACATCGGGAGAAGGCCACACCTGAATGCCCAGCTTGCGCATACCGCGCATGCCGTCATCAAACTTGGCCTGGTCGCCGCCATCTGCCTTGATCTGTCCCGGGTTGCAACGAACGATGATTGCATCAAAGTTCTTGCACACTTCGAAGAACTTGTCGTGCTCCTCATGGACGTAGTGGATGAGCTGGCAGCTCATGCCTGAGGAGATCATGCCGCTGGCAAAGGGGATGGTGTCATAGCGGTGGCCATTGGAGCTCTTGTCCGACCCGCCGAACGGCTGGCTGCGCACATAGATCTGCGCCAAAGCTGTTCTGAATGTGGGAACCTGCACAACAACAAGCGGGACTCAGAACACAAGCAGCGGCAGAAACCGGGTCCCTATTTTGACACAAACCCATGTGAAACACTGCAGGTGTCACAGCGCAATGCAGCACATGGCGCCTAAGCCATCTGAATCGAGTTAAAACCTGCTTGGTCCCGCAGCGTTGCGCGATCCCCCTTACTGAGTTTGTATCTTTGTTTGTCTTTTAGGGGTCATGGTGGACACTTGGAACCGATGTTGCAACCACCTTTGGCTATACTCTTAGGGTCGCTGCAACATTTTGCGGTTCCTTGCACCCGGAAAGATCTTAAGTCTCGTGTTCACCGATTGCCTTGGGCTGCGCAGTGAGGCCCAAGTCGTCCTTGGCTACCCGCGTGAGCGCGGAAATGTCCACGGGGCCCGCAGATGGAAACGCCATGAGCCGGGAGCTTTCAGTGAGTTTTGAGAAGCTAATGCTGCGAGGACAGAAGCGGCGCGACATGTGGGAATCATAGTAGCAGTGGACCATTCGGGGGGGGACGTCATATATGTCCACCGAGTATTTCTGAGGGTGTGGTTGCTGCAGGGCGCAAACGACATGTGGGTCAAGGACACACTGGGTATACATCTCTTCTGCAGCCACAACTTTTTCCTTGGGGGGTAACATTCTTGGGGTTGGCGGAAAACTTCTGGCAGGCGCTGACTGCTGTGTCAACTTTTAGGACCCCTCCAAGTGCTGGGCACCTCTTGATGTGTGCATCAGGAGGGGTCACTTACACTGGCACCATACCTAGGAGTGCTTCTACGTCTCCCAGTTTGCACGCCCGGGTACATGACCCTAGAGGCTTGCTGCCAGTTATAATTACCCTCCCCCCCTAAAAAAGTGTGTATATATATATATATAAAAGCCCAACACAAAGTGTGTTGGTTAGGCACCAAGGGGTGTGAACACCCCGCTTTTGGGCCATCATTCCTCCCACAGCTTGGAGCTCATTGCAAAAGGAAAAAAGATTATCCAAGGCCACGAGCAAGTAAATGGCACACAATTGAGAGATGAAGTCAGGCTGTGTCTTCAGAGCTTTATGCAAGCTATGAGTTCCTGGCTGATGGACAGGTCAGTTCCTTGCATGCTGGAATCATGTCGATATCGTCATTGTACGTCAAATTGGAAGTGTGTGATTTCCGTCCCAAGTTTATGTGCATGTGTGTTTCTCAGTTGCCTCCAGCCACTCGGCTCGAATCCATTTTTGATGTTCACATGGTTCCTGCAACCTGGAATCCCTTTTTGTCAGGCGCCAGTCCACCCACTATCCATCTAGAGTCCAAATGATGCGAGCTTTACACCGCACTCAAATGGGGAGTCTTGTGTGCTTATGTATTTATACAACGCACATAACTCAACGCGTCACGGTTTTGTGAGTAGATATGGATGCTTCCAAGAACGGGGCCCGAAAACTGATTGTGTGGTTCTGGATTCCCTTTGAACAGCGTCCAAGAGGGGCCCCAATTTGAGCACATACCGATGCTCTGTGGGAAACACACAGACCCCTTTGGAAGAAGGTTGTGTTTCGTAGGTCCCTGTATGTCTCATTTGCCCAAAGGGCATAGCAAGAAAAGGGGTTTCACGTTTTGGGGACCTTGACGAAAAAGTGGACCAAAACAGGACAACCACAAGGTGAAAAGGTCGGCTTTGAACAGCCGAGATGTTCGAAGGCCAAACTGTAAACCCTGGCTGCGCCAACCGCTTTTTCCGCATTTTCCTCGGCATCCGCGCACGTAGGCCCCGAGCGGGGCAGCTGGAGAGGGGCGTGTGGATGTGTTTGGGGGAGTTGTTGTGGACCAAAACCCAAAGCATATATCCACCTCAGTTGGCTTTGTTTCAAGACTCACTCTTCATCTTGGTTGCAGCTTGAAAAGCAGAAGGTTCCAAACACATCGATGTGGATCGCATCCTCACGTTTGCTCCATCTTGGAGCCCAAGCAACGGCCGCCACCCACACCGGAGCACCGGCGCTCCGCCCCGGATGCGGACGCCTTCGGGGCGGCTGGCTTTCAGTCCGAACAGAAAATGCAAAAAAGGAAATCCTTTTCCAACGAATCCGGATCCCCGGAAACGTACAAACCAGAAACACTACCATAGACAAGTACTGCAAGTACTCTGATAAGGGCTATCGCCAATCCTTCATCAAGCCCGGAAGCCTCCCCACACAGTGCACTCCCACAGTTCGCCTCACACAAACTGCCGCCGGTGTCGAAGGCGTCTTCGGGTGAAAGTAGGGGACCCCTCAAAATGGGTAGATTTCCAGTGGTTCCCTTTCATCAACAAACATGGACTAAACCCTTTCCATCAGAGAATTAAGGGGGACACGCGCGTTGACCAGGCTTGTGCGCCACTAAAAATTGTAATGGAAACACAGTGCCGCTAAATACTTGAAAACTCCCCGGTGCTGAAAACACTCCATGTCCTTCTTCGAGCAAATCCAGTATGCGTTCTTTAGGGACACCTGATTTGACGATTTAAAGCTGTTTCAAGCGGAAACCCATGAGCTTTCAACCGCCCATTCTGGAGCTTCCCATGAGACAACACCCGGCGGTTGTCACGGTTGCCACTGCCGAGCGGAGGCCCCAGAGTTGACTGGCCGTCTCTCAACGTGTCCGGAGCTGGAACGTCTCCTTTCGAAGGGTAACACACCCATTCCCTGCCATGGATGTGTTGGGCGGATAAAACGATGTATTCAAGGCCGCAGCAGTTCCAACCGAGGATTAAGCTACGAGCGTCTTTCCAACAGAACAAACCGGGGCGAGTCGAAACCCTCGCCTCAGCTCCGCGGGTCTTTTCCTGATCCAAGCGCAGGGACCAAGGTGGATCTGTCCCACACTGAAAAACCCGGCTGAATGGCGAATGTCCTTTCGGGTCAAGACTGGCGAAACTGGGGACCTTTGGCCGAATCACAAGGCTTGAGGAGTTAGGACTCAAGCCCCTGAAGCTGGACACGTTCCGTGTACGGTTCGGCTTCCGTTTGAACCTCGGGGTCTATGTCAAGTGGTTGGACCTGGAAGCAGGCATGAGCCATTGAATGACAGAACCATGGTTCTAGGTTATGTCGATTGATGTGGATCTATCGCACAGCTGGAGGGGGGAGGGGGGGGGGTTGGGTGTCTGTTGGCTTCCCTCAAAACCAACCACATGCAATTTTGTTGGCTAGAGCAGAGGAAGAGGGTATGATTTCCGGACTAGGCCTGCTTCAGTTTAGAACTCCCCGAAAAGTCGGGCGATGCTTCTCTGGGTGCTTTAGAGATCATGGTGGTGTTGCACGAATGACCAGTGACTCAGTGGAATTCACGACCTCCCGAAATCGCAGCACAATTCAACCGCTGTATTATTGAAGACTTCAGCGCCCCTTCCCTTTGACAGACTCCCAACATGTGGGCGGCCTTCTTTTTGTCCTTTTTAGACTTGTCCTTCTCCTGCATGCTGATATATTGCATGACCCTGCCTTGTGGCCTCAATGCCTCACCCGGGCAACACTGAGATTGGCCAAATCGTCTTGGAGGGGTCCTAGCCCCAAGCTACTGCAAACAAGGGGCAAGAAGTTTTTGGAGATCAACGCGAATACTCAGCAGGCACAGTTTCAAAAAGGTATGCAGTCATTGTTTCCATCAGTTCAGGGCTTCGCGCAATTGCTCAATACTGGTCCCAGCCGTTTGTAAAAGAAGATCAAGCAAACTCGTTTGATCCAACCTGCACACGGCCAAAGTCTCGGCGAGACAAGGAAGTCAAGCATGCAATCTAAGCTGCCACAAGCTTCTTCTTCACTGCCCGGCCATATCAAGCATCTCCCGGTAGCAGGGAGGTTGCGAGCGCAAAGTCAACGGACCAGCCTTGAAACTCATGGCGGGCAACAACGGTTCAAGCAGCCGGCCTTTTCTTTCTCCTTCTCCTCTTTGTCCTCCTGTCGAGGGCAAAACAAGAACAGAAAGTCCCGCAAAAGTGGCAGCATGTGATTGACTGCAAGCACTCCTTGTTTTTCTTGTCTTTCTTCTCCTTGTCTTTTTCTTTGTCCTTGTCTTTCTCTTTGTCCTTTGTTTTCTCCTTCTCCTTCTCTTTGTCTTTCTCTTTCTCCTTCTCTTTGTCTTTCTCTTTGTCTTTCTCCTTCTCCTTCTCCTTCTCATGCTCCTTATCTTTCTTTTTCACCTTCTCTTTATCCTGACGCTGCCGTGGCCCGTCTCTCCACGGAATGGCAAACCCAATACGCCAGTGTCAGCCCTCCGTCAAATGTCCAGCGTCACCGCGTGTCCCTGTCTGCCAAGCCAGGTTCGGTGGAAATGTTCTCAAGAGCGCCAGCCTGGGGTCTTAGCCAAATCCGGCGTTCGGGGCAGAACCGAACGCAAGAGGTTCTGGGGAGCGTCCAGCATCCTGACATATGCTGAGGATACTCCTTGGGCCCACTCGAATCAAATCGTATTCAAGGGGGGGATCTGGCAGCGTGTTTGGGGGGACCCCTTCAGGCATCACCTTGTCCAGCTCATACCCAAGCACCACTTGCACGCGAATTCCCGCACATTTCCGGGACCTCCGCTTCAAAAGAGACATTGAAGTCTGGGTCCCGACGCAAAAAACCCAAACGTTGGCAACTGAAATTCTTGCCACGATCTTGCAACCTTCTGTGTGGCTTGCATGTTCCCGAGATTGCTCGATGATTCCTATGTCCGAAACAATTCCCGTGACTCCCTTTGTGCAACCTGGTCCCATGGTGCCCAAAAGATCAGCACATGCCTCCGATGTCTCAAAGGACTGGCAACTCCTGCACACTTCCAAAGCACAAATGGACTTTCGCTGTCCCTTTGAACGGCTCCCTTCAAACAACCTCTAAGAGTCCTTAGGAGCCCAAGCCCGTTCACCACAACAAACATGGATGTGCAAGGACCTTGCCTTTCCAAGAGCGCAGTACCATTCCTCTTGACAGAAGTTAGACGTTTTACAAGTGCTAAGCGAGTTTCGAACATCTGGATTCTCACCCAACATGAATGACTTCTTGTGTTGGTTCCCTCCAAACCCATCTAAGGGGCCTCCAATCTCACTAGAAACTACAGCCCAGCTTGCAACCCCGAAGCTTTACACACCTTGAATCCTCGTGGGGGCAGGGCCAAGAACCAAAAAGGATTGGCAATGGAACTTCCCACAAGCACTTGCTTCGCATGACAAAACATGATTGCCACACATAGGAAGCCACAAAGATCAGTGAGACAGCTGGCACCATACAGCATCTCCGCTCTGGAAACTCGCCCAACATGCTTCACCCCGTGTATGAGCCCAAACAGCCGATTGGTTTGCCTTCTGTCGAGCAGTACCAAAGCCAGACAGAAGCGGCGAGGCCTTTGCCTTCTTTTCTTTGACCTGGCGATATGTGTGTGATTCAGGTTCCCAGGCATAGATCTATCTGGGTAGACTAATGTGAATAAGATGTGTTCAACAAAGCATATTTCATGTTGGGTTGACGGGGGGGGGGTTTGTCCTGACTTTCATGCTGCCCCGCGCAGCGTGTTCGCGGGGGGGGGAGGGAAGCGGGGGGGGATGGAAAGAACACGGCGTGGCGAGGCCAACCTGTGTTTCAAGCTAGTCGATCCCGACCCCTCAGCCCCACACGCCATGTGACTTCTCGCTACGCGGCTGCGCAGTCCCATTTGCTTATCTGACACGCTGCCACTTTGCCACCTGGTGTCGCTTGGGGCCTTCTTGCGTTTGAAGGAGCTACCTTCCCGAAAGCTGGTCTTTGTCTCCGCTGCGCTTTCAGTACCGTGCAGGAACGGAAGTTCTGCCAGCAAGTTATCAGCGCAGCTCATGACTTGTCCGCTTCGCGTATACAAAGCAGCCCGGCCTGGACAGCTGCATACAAGTGTTGGTGGCATTCTGAAGGTCTCCCACTAAGAGAGTCAAGCAGTCCTGGAGCCTGCTTCGAGCAAATGAGAATGCTGCGCCTGCCAGCACCGCGTCTTCGAATCTGAGAATCGAATACGCGAAGTTGGACGTTTCCAGACTTTCTTGTGGTCCCACCGACGCCAAGAGTGACCGTCATTCGGTCCGGGCAACCCCCCCCCCCACCCATCATGTTGTTTGCGCATCTGAGAGAAGCAATGACCGTAAAATGAGCGACACCTTTTGTTGCGAGAGGCTGCAAGAGGGGTTCAGTTTTGCAGGGTCAAAAGGTCTTGCCAAGGGTCAAGGTTAGAGTTGAGTCGCGCTTCTGTTGGGAAGTGATTTCAAGAGAGCATGGAGCCTGCTTTTGCTGGCGGGTTGATGGGTGATCACCATTGGTTCTGCTTTAAAGCAGTCAATGAACGCTCAAAAAACAGCGCTATATTATGCACCACCCTTCTGAAAAGCAAGGCGGAACCCAGCACACCTCAATTTTCGAGAAGAATTCTGTTGGGATTCTCCCCCTTCCCCCGCCCCCAGATTGGGGCAAGCCAAGAAAAATCTGGAGTGCGGGTGCCCTTTTTCAGGTTGTTTCAAGAAGCATCAAGGAGAAAGCAGGGGCCGTGTGGCTGCTTGGTGGGCCATTGTTGATTTTTTTCAGTGGTTGGCTCCGTCTGGTCTCCATGTTTCCATTGAATGCCACTTTCACTCCCAACCTACCCCCCCAACCTCCCGGCCCTGCCGGACGGAGCCTCTGCTTCTTCAGCATCGGTCTGAGTGGAATCCGAAAGTTGGGTGCGTGCTTGGACGAGTCGTTTGTGAATATCCCTTCATTGTATTGATTTGCTCATCTGCTTATCTATCGCTGCCTGTCTGTCTCTGTCTCTGTCTCTTCGCCTGTCCATGTATCTATGCATCATGTCAATCTGTTTACGCATGTGTCTGTTTGATGATGCTAGTATTATTATATGCATGCATTTACACTTGTGAATTTGCCTACTTGACCATCGGTCACCAATGGATTCATCATTGTACTGATCTAGGCTAATTGATATGCTTATGGGTGAACTCCCAAATGTATTTCCATCTATTTGTATGCGCACAACACCTGCGCTCATTTTCGCATGTGATGTGAAAGTCAGGCTCAATAGTGAGGGCGCAACACTGTTCTCGTGTTGGACAGCTCGTTGTGGTGTGTTCGCAGGAATTACACTTTGAACACACAAGACCACACAGAAAGTGGTAGGATATCGTGGGCGTCATGGAGCCAGGAATGTATGGCTCTGTCTTCCATCAACTGTGTCAACAGTAGCTTTAGGGACCTAGCCAGCCAAGAAGCCCTGCCAACTGGTAAGCAAGGCCCTCCCAATGAAGGCTGCTCAAACATAGCCAATCAAACAACACTTGTGCCATGATTAAAGCTTTGTGTGGCCAGAGTCACCTAGTAAGCCCAAGTGAGTAGGTCTTTGCATCGCACACATGGTATTTGAACTCCGCCAATGGAAAAGCTTTCAAAGCGAACCACTCCAAACTTGAAAGGAGATGGGTGTGTCTTTTGTCGACGATAACCTTCAGGGTTGTTGTTTGAACATGTCATCAAAAATGCCTCTCACTTGTGGGCACAAAGGCACTGTGACTTTGGCAACTGCAAGACTCCAAGATAGAGGCCATGTGGGTTGGTGAGTCCTTTGGGTGGCTCTTCTTGTGGAGCTGTAAGGGGTGAAGTGAGAAAGAAGCTCAAGCTGCAAGTGAAGGCTGGCAAAACAATGCTGGCCAATGCCTGCAGGTCCCTGCTCATGGCAACATTGCTCAACAACGGCAGCATTCCGCCGAAGGCCAAGTTCGTCTGCGCAAGCAACCGAAACAAACCTAAAGATTGAAACCGAAAAGCAAGAATGCTGTTCCACCAATGGCCGCATGAAATGTCACAATTCACTACCCAAAAGTAAGCCCCTATGAAAGAAACCCGATCCTGGGTAGAATCCTGATTGTGGGCAACGTAGTCGCAAACCAAGCCCGTCTGTGACGTAGCGATCTGATGTTTTACCGGAATAGTGGTTAAGCATGTCTAAACAAGGCGTTGCCCCCAACTTGAGTTTGTGACTTTGTCGAGGGCTGCCCCTTTTGTTGTTGCAGGGAAACCAAAGGGAAACCAAATCCATTGTGGGCTCCACCATTTTGAGACACCCCCCACCCCCAAACGACTGCAACGAACACACTCCTCTTTCTCCTTTTCTTTGGAGCTGTCTCTGCTGCTCCTGGCGATTGGGTCTGGAGAAGTGTCCAGCCTGAACCTCAACAACGAAATAGAAAGCAAGAACCAAACACATCCAACCACAAAATCCCGATAGTCACAGTGAAGTGTTGGGCTTTCCACGTTTTAGCTTGCTCACCCAACGGCATGTCGGCAAAACAACTTGATGTGCTTTGCAGCACCCGGCCAAAAAAGACAGAGACAACAGCAAAGCCCTTGCTGGCAAATGAGCTTGTGAGGGAGTATATGGACAGTTGTCGTTGCTTAGAGGACCAAGAGGGGAACAACCCAGTCCGGGGCGGGGACCCTTAAGAGGGTGTCGCAAGTGGGGCGGCGTAAGTCCTCATAATCTTTACTCACAGGCAAGTTTGTCGTGCAAGCGGTTTGGATTGTTTGCTGGGTGGGGTTGTCCTTTTTTTGGCAGGGTCGTGCATTGCAGTGACTCATTTTTGACACCCTTTATATCGATCCCTGGCACTCGCAACTTGGGCCGCACCATGGAATATTGAATGGACTCTTGAAACGAACATGATCACTGATGCGGACCACAGCCTCGTTTTGGACAAGCAACTCCACGCGCCGCACGGCGCTCCGATGCCATCGAGCGGATTCTCGGCCCAGCAAGCGGGCACGGCGACTGCTGTGCACCTTACTTTGCGCGATCAACTGCAAAACCAGTAGGGGGTGCTGCAATGCCACCACTTCGGCTCTGTATGGCGCCTGGTCCTCACCATCAAGTTTGCCGGAAACTCGATTGTCCACGTCACGCAAGAAAATGTTCCATGCGGCAACGCCTTCCTCTGCACAGCTGTCAGCGGCCACAGCAACTTGGCGTCGCCCAGACGCAGCGCGGCTCAAAGCTAAGCTGCCGCTATGTTCAGTTGCCCCATCGTTCCAGTGGCGGTGGCAGGTCTTCCCCAATTAGCTTGGCAAAGAACGCTCTTCTGTTGCCCTCAACCTCTTGCAAACCCTGCTTGATTCTTGGACACACCTGCGCGAATAATGTTCACGCAGGCCATCCTAGTCAAGATGTCGATTCTTACCCTTGGCAGGGGCTCAAACACCTTAAAACTGAATTAGGCAGTGCCGCTTTTTGAGGCTAGTTGCCCGGCAAACCTTGCTCGGGGGCAGCCTGGGGGTGGAAAACGCAAGAACGAATTGGAGCGCCGCCGCTACTGTAGCTTGTTTTGAGCGTGGTAAACTAGTCTCAAAACGCATGCCAAGCCAAAAACGAACTAGCGGCGCGGTAAGGTTGTGCCAGGCAACTAGCCCCAAACACGCATAAATGTCACGTGCTACGGCAAGGTTTTGCCCGGCAACTAGCCTCAAAGGCGCACTAGCGGCATGCAACAATTCATGTTTAGGGTGTTTGATTCCCTGCTACTTCCAAATGCCCACCAACAGGACTGCCGTCGTCCTGAGAAAAGGTATGAGGAAGGAGCCGTCCCTTTCTTGGGGCTGGCACACACCCTCTCCATATATTTGGTAGGCGGTGGGTGGTTCTACTGTGTTACAGGTGTACATATATATATATATATGTATATATGGTCCCCCTCCCTCCCGACGCGCACGTTTCGTTCCTTGAGACGCACACTCAAAAGGTCAACTGGACACGTTGGAGCCCTTGGAAAAGCAGCCAATGTGCCCAAGGTATTTCCCCATCGACCACAATCGAGGGTCCCACAAAAAAGGCCCAGCCTGTCTTTCCTCCTCTTGCGGCTCTTGCCTGCCGAAAGCGCCGCACAGGTGTCAGTCTAAGCACCCAAAAGTGAAGGCAAGCTGTGTCTCCCGGAAAAAGATTGGCATGCCTCGAAAGGGAACCAGCTAGAACCATACCCAAAGCCAGCATCAATCAAAAACACTCCATGCAAGCAAGACTTGAGACTTTGAAGCTGTGTAAGAGGGCTCCAAAAGAAAACTGGGACCGCAGCGCCCTTCATTTCCCTTCGGAAAGAGGGTCCAAGACAAGGCATTCTTCTGAACACCCCTCACTGCGTGCCTCGGCTCTTCTTCTGCCTGCTGCGGCTGCGGCTACTACTGCGGCTGCTGCTTGGGCTGGATCTGAGCGACCGGTGCAGGACAAAAAGTGGACCCCAACCCAACCCCCAGAACCACCCTCAGGGCAGGGGTCAGTCAGTCCATATTTCCCACCCAAGCATGGCAAGCTGCATCGGTTGATCCTTCCAAAAAAACGGATCCAGTATGGGGAGGCCCCGGAGATGGGGACTTGAACACTAAGGTCCTCAAGGATTAACTGAAGCTCCAAAACACGTTGAGGGCAAGCTGCCAGTAGCAAGAAAAGTTTCTTCCAACCCCCAAAGCGTGGCCTCAAAATCAAGAGCCCTTGGCCTTGTGGCAACGGTTGCCTAGGTGTTCCCGTGGCACGCTTCCGATTGGCTTTCTCATTTGTCCAACAGACCTGGAACAAGGTTACCACAGTACCTGATATGTTTGGTGCATGACGAGGGCAAAGTGGGACATTGTCCCAACTACAAAACGCTGCGACATGCTACGCGTGTTCCTTCCGGCACTTCACTGGAATCGAAATGCGTGGGCTCGCCATCTCGGCCGAAGCCTAGTGACATGTTAGTGAGCCTCATTTCTTGGGAAGCTTGCGTCCTAAACAAACTCCAGTCACGAGTGCTGGAAGCTAAGTGGGGGACAGCGCTGCGAACAAACATGAGCCTCATGGGGCAGTCGCGGCAAGTGAAAGGCACCAGTCGCCAAGCTCTCCGTGCGCTTGGTGGTGCGAAGCTCGAAAAGGACCATCCAAGTCACACGTGTCCCAAACGCGTCCGAACCGTGTCCCAAACATGTCCCATCTCCAAACACGTCCCACACATGTCCCACACATATATATATATATATATCGCACACATGTCCCACACATGTCCCACACATGTCCCACACATGTCCCAAACATGTCCCAAACATGTCCCAAGCATGTCCTTTTTCGGCTTCCCGCTTCGGCCTGATCCAAATCCGTTCCCCGAATCACCCGAATCCATCTCCACGCCTCCGGCCACGGGAGAGGTCCAGGACCTGGCGGTGCGACGGGGGGAGGGGTTCTGTTTGGGACATCAACCAGGCGAAGTCAACCCATCCAACTGCGAAGGTACTCCGACTTTTGCGGCGGCAACAAACTATTATTCACCATGGAAAATGACTGGCATGCACTTGAGACTTCAATCTCGGAGTTTATTTTATAGAGGTCTCTCATAGAAGCTCCTCGAAACGAAGGACTTGGGCAACTTGCATGCGTGTTGCTCTTCCTGCAGATATGGTGGGACTGTCTGCAGCCCTTGCAAGATTGAGGCCCTCTATCGAAGGATGAGAAAATGTCGAACCCTCACAAGGGGCACGCCGATGGCGGGTTTCCTTTTGGCAGTCTTACCACAAGAGGCTCTCCCGCATCCATAAGCCCCGCCCGGATTTCTGGGAAACACCCAGGTTTTCTCTGGGTAATTTTAAGGAAACCACCCGGCTGAATTCTTCCGAGGGCGGTCGAAGCACTCAGGGCGTGGCGACGTTTCCTGCCATCCGCTTCCCAGAGAGGCCATCCTGAAACGAGCGATTCCGGGCTCGATACCGTCGCAGGGATTCTGTCACAAGGAAGTCGAGTGACCCAACCTCGAGTCAGCCTGAATTGGGGGAAACCGGCCCCGGCTTCAACCTGGAAAGCTGCTTACCTGCTGAGCCCTGAGGCCCTACCCCACGGAAGGTTCATCAGGCGTTTTTGGTTGGCTTTGGCCCATTCCAGTGGTGGCGTTGCCAGAGTCAGAACCAAGGGATGAGCAGGTCTGATAACTAAGGAACGATGAGCAATGCTATGAGAAGCATCTCAATTTAAAGGATTCTCATAGGCAGTAGTCAAGGAAAATAGAAAGGAGGAATGATAATAAGACATGCTGAAGCATGGTAGTATGGGATGATAATAAGGAACGATAACGAGGTATGAGTAAAGATATGTTTTCCTCAAGCATGAGTTTTTCTTTTAAAAAGAAGAGAGAAAACAGGACATTGCTAATAGTGCTGCCAGTACAGCCCGGACGAGCCGGGGGTCGGAAGTTTCAACAGACGCCCGCATTCTGCAATCCCGCCCGTCCCTCTGTTCGCCATGTTTCTGTGCCGTGTGAACTTTGTCGAGGCTGCGAAGCGCGCGAATTTTGAACAGCTCACAATGCCAGCCACGAAATCTGATCTGTGCTAACATGTGGTTTTGAGGTCGAAAAGCCGAAAGTACGCCGAGAGCTTAGTTTTTGAAGGGCCAGCAACTTGAAACCAACCGGAAATCTGTAGAGGGCTCACTTGTTCAAGATCTGACAACTTCACAATCGGAAACAACTGTTGAAGGTTGACCAACCAAAAGTGCGCAGAGGGTTGGGTTGATCATGTATTTGACCTGATATGTCTTTGCTCTGCTATGTCTTTGCTCTGCTCTGTCTTTGCTTTGCTACGTCTTTGCTCTGGTATGTCTTTGATTGGCTATGTCGCCTTGCTATGTCTTTGCTTGGCTATGTCTTTGCTTTGCTGTGTCTTTGCTGTGCTCTCTCTCTCTCTACTTACTTGACTTTGCCCTTGTTTTGGCAATGCCTATGCTTGTTCATGCTTGGCTGTCTCTTTACTTTGTCACTTCTTGGCTTGCCTGGTTTGAGTCGTCCGTAACTCGGAAGTTTCTCATCTACGTAAACTTCGTTTGAAGAAGGCACACGCTAAGGGATGATCAAAAAGAAACTCAGTAAGAGCAAACATATTGTCAAGCAAACCGTCCTACAAGAATATCAAATGATGGGAGAAGCAGGTACGGATACAAGGCACAGCACATCAAGCTTTGGAAAAGCAGATCCGCGGCGAACAGCAAATTGGCACCGCTGCCATGCTTCACATGGGTCCGCAATTTAGGCACAATCCCACGAGGATGAGTGACAAGGGATGAAACAAATAGCAGTGATCAGGGATGGCAGGTAGGACAATAACATGGCATGATAACAACAACTGAACAATAAGAGCAAGACGGGATGAGATTTAAGAGTTGGAACACGGAATGACTTCAAGTAATTCTAATCAGGGATGTTGACAAGGGGTGATAATCTGATACTCAGCAACCGACAAACACGTGCCAATGAAGAACGGTTGCAAGGGATACCTCATGATAAGGACTGATACGGACACATCTAGAACATGATGATAATCAGGAATGTGGACAAAATCTGATAACCAGGCACAACAGGGGAAAAGTGACGATGTCGGGATGCTCTTTCTGGTTGATGATTTCGGGGCTAAGTGAGGAGACTCACAGGTGAGGGTGTTTCAATCCGCTTACCATCGGCCTGGGTCACGGTGTAGCGTACTCGGTCGCCTTCCTTGATGGTGCCTGGCGCTCGCTCCGGGCTCCGGAGCTCAGATCCTTTCGGATCTCGACCGAGCCTCGCGATTCCGTGCCTGCCGTGCCTGCCATGCCTGCCGTGGACCTTGCCTTTTTAGACCCCTTGACTCGAGACTGAGGCATTCAAGAAACGGGTATCGTCAAAAGGGAGACACGCCCATCTTTCCGGGCCTTCCACCTGGCGAAGTTGGCTCACGTGGCAGAAGAGGTCCCCGCCTCGACGCGGAGCCCAAAGGTCAAGCGACGCACTGTGGGGGGGGGGGAAGTGTTGTTTCCGAAACGAGGGGCGCTTCCGTTCTCCTCAAAAAAGGGAATGGTGTGTCTGTTTCATGATCTAGGGTTGGGCTAGTGTGTCCTTCTCTTAAATCAGGGTGGTCCTTCTATCATTGGCAAACCATGATGAAACCGGAACGGTGTTTGGACATTTCTTGTACAACCGACCAAGAAATTCAAGGTGATCGATCTATTGCCATGGACGCGCGAAGGGCTGTAACAAGCGTGGTCTTTCCAGGGATCCTTCTTTGCAAAACGTCGAAAACAAGGCGCTGGATCCTGGAAGGAACGATGATCCAATGGTTGACTTGAACCCTAGATCCTAGATAAATGCAACTGCTCAAACGGCAGTGGCTCAAAACATGCCAACACATGCCGGGGGGGTTGTTTGTGTTCTATCGCCGGGCCGAACGGTCATGCGATGCCCGCCCAGTAAAATGGAATGGGGGGAGGGGTCAACCGTTGCAATTCCATTTATGATTTCATTGTTTCCCCTTGAGAAACAAAGGAAATGTCAAATGGGGCTGGGGGCCATTGGGGGCCCGTACCCCTTGAAGGGAGTGTCAACCAGGAGAGAAACTCAGTGTGCTTGGCTCTCTCTCTCTCTCGCTCTTTCTCTCTGTCTCTCTCTGTGTCTCTCTGCTTCTCTCTCTGTCTCTCCCACACACCCACCCACCCACCCACCCACCCACCCACCAATCACTTGGTCTCTCTGCCTCTCTCTCTGTCTCTCCCTCCCACCCACCCACCCACCCACCCACCCACCCACCCACCCACCCACCCACCCACCCACCCACCCACCCACCCACCCACCCACCCACCCACCCACCAATCACTTGTGCATGAGAATCATCCTTCAGGAGTTCAACTGGACCCACAAACAAGCAGCTACCTCCTCAATCCCCAACCATGTTAAAAGACAAAGGATGAAGAACAACTGAGCCAAAAACTAATACCCCACTTGACCTAAATTAAACCACCAGGGAACCGGCAGGTTTTAGTCCTTGGTTCGATTTTTGCCAGGGACCACATTCACTCCGGGTTTTAGTCCTTGGTTCGTTTTTTGCCAGGGCTCCATTTGCGGTTTCCCCTATTTTTCCGCCCCCCCACCCATCCAAGTTCCTCTGACTCGCCAGATCCGATCCGAAGCGAGGTCCCCGGGCTACCGTCCGAAGGCTTGATGAAGCCGAAGCCGCCCTCTTTCCGCCAGCCTCGGATCCATTGGTCTCTCCCGGTCTCGTCTGGTCTCCTATCTTCCTCTCTTGGGCTCTCCGACCCTTTTTCCAACCCCAAACCAACATAGAAACCAAGCTTGGCGATATTGAACCTGGATTGGCTGCATTTCTAGTACTGGTAGTACAGGCGATTTTTTCCTCCACCCTTCAAAGTAAATGGCTACGGCGTTGATCTGGGTTTCACCCCCCTCAAAAAGAAAAGCTTGCCATTGAAGAGGACTCCAAACAAGTCAGATGCCAGACTAAAGAGGCTCCGGAGCTCTTGTGGGCCGCCACCTTTGTTGGCTTCTTTCAAGGATATTTTGTGAAAACATTGTTTTGGGGGCCACGTCAAAAGCAGCAACTTCCAGATCGGAGCCAATTGCGGACAAGCGCATTTAGAACATGCCCCCCCCTTCCCCATGGCTGCGTTCGGTGCTGCCATTTTCAAGTTGAGTCATTTCTACAATAGAAACTGGGTGTAATATCGAACCCATCTTTAAACTCATGTCTTAGATATGATGGGGCGGACCGGACCCCACTTAGTCCAAAATCAGACTACAAACATGTCCGCAAAAAGTGCACCCAATCCCGACCATTCTCCGAAATGACACCGGACTCCGATGCCCACTGCACAGATGTGTACTGACGTCAACGGTAACCGTTGCCCGTCGAGGCGGGCCCCAAGGATGCGCCGTTCGCTGC